CATTTTTCCTCTTTGCCTTCATTGTTTTTACTGTCTATCTATCTATCTATCTATCTATCTATCTATCTATCTAGGTCTTTTTGACTGGTGGTTGGACAAAAGACATCACCTTGGGCTGAAAGAAACTGTGATGTGTATTTTTAACAATTTTATGACCTTTTATACACTAAACACTACACAGAATAAAAATAATATATGTTGCCCTTCTCGCCTTGCATGCATTTAGAGCTTTTGCACCAACCTGCTCATTTGGTATACCATCACCATCTGCATCGTCATCACAGGTGTCTCCTTGACCATCCCTGTCGGCATCCTCTTGACCAGAGTTAGGAACGTAGACACAGTTATCCTGTGAAGAGATGTTACAGTAAAATAAAGAAAAAAGGCCCGCCTATGACAGCAAAGTTGCATTTGCTGACAATTTATGCTTTGCTTACCTTTTTACAGTTTATATCTTTGCATTTGAGTTTCTCATCTGGGTATCCATCAATGTCGGTATCCTTCCCACACAGGTATCCATTACCGGCCCACCCAATTCCACACTGAGAAAACAAATGAAACCCTTCAAAAACTCAGACAGCATGTACACTGTATGGAGTTGTGGGTGAAAAAAGTGTGAATCCTACCTGACAAGAGATGGACCCGTCCCTCTCTACAGTACACTGGGCGTTGATGTCACACGGATTGGTCAGGCTGTTGCCGCAGCTGAGCTCTGGCTTACAGCCTTTCACCTGATCTCCTGTGAAACCTGTCTTACAGCTGCCGCAGTTGTAAGAGCCCTGTGCAGGAATGAAGACATCTGGTTTCTTTGTAAAGCCACACAAATTACATAATTGTTCTATATAAGCCACGTGTAGTGTTTAGATAATATTTGACAGTGGTCTTACCACAGAGTTGTGACACATTGAGTTTGCAGTGCAGCCTCCGTTGTTTGGTCCTTTGCATTCGTCGATGTCGTCACAGACCTGAAAATGATGAATTCAAGATGTGAATGCGTCCAAATGTTTGGTTTTTATGACAATTTACCTTCTTCCCTTTTTTTCCTAAAGGGTTACATTAATTACTGAATATAATACAGTTAATTAACAGTGGTGGAAAGTAACTTAATTTTAAGGTAAGTGAAGCTACTTTATACCTATACTACATGTCAGAGGGTGATATTGTGCTTTTACTCCACTACATTTAGGAGACAGCTATTTTATAATTTTTTAAATTAGGATTTTAAGAAAACATAGGATTATATAAAATACAACAAATTGCTAAACATTAAACTAGTGGCTCCCAACATTTTTGGCATGTGAACCCTTACAGAAACAAAACCCATTATCTATTTGGGGCCCCTTGTCATGTTTCAGATGTCTGTGAGTTATTACCAGTTCCACCAAAGAGAGAGTTCCCTTCTGAACTTCTCACATGGTTTCATTTAAATAACCCAGAAGAGGTCAAATTATCTAATAATTCACAAAAAAATCAAAGATTAGAGAGAAGTAAAATAAGTCAGTACAGATGTGTGCTCTCCTGATAATCATCTCCATCCCCTCAGATTTAGTTTGATTAGTTAGTTTTGCTCAGTTGGGAACCACTGGACTTAGCTACCAAATTGTATGTAGTTAAAAAACTATTACCCCAATTTACACTTCAATAAAGCAACATTCCTCCACATTATCCCCCCTCTTATCCCCTACCTTCTTGTCCTCTCCATCTGTACTTAAATAGGTGACAGGTAAATATTTTAAAATAACTAAATAAATAAACAAGTATAATAATAAATAATTACACCATAATTTGAGGACTTTAATCTAAAATGTTCTCTTGTAGCATAATTACATCAGAAACCCTTTTTATAATGATTTTTTAATGTCTTCTTTGATCTATGCTGTAATTTGCATGCATCCCTTTTCATATTCTAGTCTCTGTGTCAAAAGTCTTTGTGTCCTACATATTTCATCCAGTCTTTTACCTGTTTGTTGGTCTGGGCGAACAAAACGCCCACACCCTCCACTGGCAGGCCGGTGTAACCCAGCGGACAGGCGTCACAGCGGTAGCCCGGAGCAGTGTTCACACACTTTACTCCTGGGAAGCAGGGGTTAAACTGGCACTGCAGAAAGGAGGACGAGAGTTCTGTTGAAGCTGCAAAATATATGCGGTTCTCACAGGGCTTCTCCATGAAAGCTTTTAGGTTTGATGACACTTTTGCTCATGCAAAAAAGAGAACGCTGAAGGGGCCAATCCTTAGAAAAGGGGTCAGTTCAAACACGAAAAGACAGACAGGCAAACACACACACATATCCTTGTACGTCTATCCTCATGAGAACCTCATTGATAAACAGTCATGCCTTAACATTATCTGATTTCCATTATACCATATTACATTCTATGAAATGCCTTTAGATCCTGTGGGCCACTTTGATGGTCCCGTCGCCAGATTTAATTTCAAATGCCCCAAAAAATCCTGGTGAAATCTGTGCACACAATTTCTCATAGACCTTTTGGAGCCTGGAAAAAATATTTTAATTAAGTCTTATGTCACCTCACTCAGAACTCAGACACCCCAGTTTGATGAGAATTCCTTCATCAGTCCAAATAGGACTTTTTCTATGTAGAGCATTTGGTAATATTACATGGTGTAGGGTTTTCAGGGTACCAGATGTGCTGTAGTACTGCTCAGTATTTTCAAAAGATGCATATCTAATATCTTAGACTGTCATTGTCATCTGCTGTTTTGTACATGAGATATATTATGAATGAACAGAAATACAGTAAAGATACTGTTTATACACAACAGATGCGTATACTATCACAAATGTATGCAAGATGTATTCTGTAGTTCAAGGACCCCTTTGAGGCATCCTTTCCGTTTACATTGGAGGTACGAGTGGATTTAACAAGCTGTTAGTCCACAATGTTTTTGATCTGGATTCAAAACCAGAATGTGAACATGCTGCTATGTTGCCAAATCTTAACTTAACTGTAGCTATAATCTCAACCATAAACCCAAGTTCTAGCCCAAAAATACAACAACTGGGGTTGGGCCAAATAGCCACACCTTGTAATTATATTGATTCTGATTCTTACAAGAATAGAAGTAGAGAGACACACATTACCTCATCCACATCATCACAGTTGAAACCATCCCCAGTGTACCCATCAGGACATGGTCCACACTCGATACCGTCCGCTGTCTCTATACACATATCGTTACGGAAACAGACACCTGGGGCACACCTTGGTTTTACCACCTCAGTACCACCCAGACCTTTAAATAACAGAAAGAAGAAAAACACATTCAATTCATAATATTTTTCCAATCGAAAAATTAAACATCACATTTACTAGTGAGTGACATGGCTGTTATTGGACGTGAGCTTACCGCAGGCCTGACACTCTGAGATTGTGTTTCTGAGAAATGAGGTCTCTTTGACCTGGAAAAGGTCAAACATAAACAAGTTTATATGCAGTCATGCAAGCTGTCAGCAAGGTCAGGGGTGAGGAAACTGGGCTTAAGTGGCCTCAGAGGAACAGTTAGTGGTAGTTACCTGCTGAATGAGGACATCTTTCAGCTCATTTATCACCTTCGTTAACTCCAGCATTTGATTGGACAGCTGCTTCGTATTGACCCCTAAGAGAAAGGGACTGTTATTTTGTTAAACTGAAGCAGAGGTGGGGGATTTCTGAACCTGCTCTCAAGTCACTCTGACTAACACTGACTGTTGTTTTCCTACTGCTGGGATTGTTTTGCGAGGAAACATTTGGCAGTCTCTGTAGACGATCTTACCCAGAGTTTGAACGGAGTCTCTTTGTTGGAAATGGCAGTCTTGTAATGATGCAACATTCTCAAATGAGTCCCCAACCACCAGCTTGAGCTCGTCTAAACTCTCCTGTTAAAATAAAACAGGTCAGAGTGGACAGCTAAGCCATTTGGAAACCTGCACATCCATTATTGGGACAGAAACATATTCATCATTGTATGTAAATACTGTGAGTGATGGGTCACCTGCTCTCTGGCTTGCATGGTCTTTAGCTCCACCATACCATAGCCTGCTGGCAAACCCTGGAATGCAGCAGGGAGATCCCTGACTGTCTCCACCAGCCTGCAGTCCAGATGCAGCTCCACCCCGCCTGGCCCCTGCTGCTGCATCCCCTTTAGGTGAAACAACAGTCGGTGTTGTTGGCCATCTGCCAGCACCAGGTTGTTGAAGGTTACTGAGCTCATCCTCTTGTCACTCCGCAGGTAGCGTAACACAGCTATGAGAAGACAGAGCAGGGAAAGAGGAAATGATGGTAGCAAAGAAGCAATAATAGACATTTTTCACAGCAGCTATTTTGACATGAAATAGTAGGGAAAGCATAGGTGTTACCAATGATACAAATGAAGGAGCAGACCTTAATTAGTGTCACTGGTAACATCTGTGTTTATCCTACTGATGCATGTCAAAAGGGATGTTGTGAAAAAGATGATTTAGAGGGAGCATTTACCATAAATGGTTGATTTATCCCAATTAACTAAGAGTCTACAGCCTCGCTAGCTGCTATGTGGGATTGTACTATGTATGGCAGTGCTTTGAGCTAAATGGTAACATCAGCATGCTAACATGCTATCAATGACAATACCAAAAACTATAAGCATGGCCAATGCCAATAAAATGCCAGTAGAAGCAACTGTGGTATTGATAAAAGCAATAACGTAGAACTGATAATAAAGATTTTTATTTATTTTTAAATATATATAAATTAAGAAGAACACACTGTAAACACATTATTGATTATTTATCACCTTATAAAGTTAATATGGTGAAATAATTATTAGCTTATTCACAGATCCAATAGAAATGGATCAATGTTAGCATTTATTTATAGTCATGTTTTTGTCCTAAATTTTTCACTATGTTCATTAGCTAGTTGCTAACTGTTGTCTGTCTGCTGTTTGGTGGTAGTCAGGTAGTGTAGTGTGTCGGTTTTCTGTGTTTTTTGCTAAAAACAGCTGCTGCAGCTGGAAATAATGTCTAGGGGGAATGAACCAGTTTAGCTGTGGCCTGTAAAACCAAAACAACAACCTTAGAGATGCTAAAAAGCTCCATAGAACTGTGGGGAACTGCAGAGTTGTATGATTATGTTGTGGTTTCATCACAATAAGTGACCCTGTTCACTTTACACACAGTTATTTAACCCAATGTTAACACAAAAATGTTGATAAGTGCAGTTTTAAACTGTACCAGAACCCCTTTCGTGTTCTCTTACCTCTATTGAGCTTCCCCATCACAGTGAACTCAAAGTACTTGCTGTTGTCCCTGGGGTTGTACAGGGTAAACACAGAGGTTCCGGTCTTGGGTTGCAACTTGAAGGAGGTTAGGATGAAAGCCTCATTCACTCCTTGCTCAGCCAGACCCCCCTGCAGCAGGTCTGGCAGGCAATCAGGCGAGGTGAGCAGATCATAGACTGTTGACAGGGATGGGAAAGAGAGAAGGGGTAAAGCACATGAGTAATGGATGATGAGATATGAATATTTACAACCTGCAGCCGTGCTGCAATCCCAGAGTAAACACATCCTGAGTTGACAAGAAGAAGATGATGATGTTGACCCAGTGTTTGTTGCTCTTTCGGGACTCAATCAGTCAGCACAAACTTGGCAGGCAAAGTTGGCTCAGAGAACGATGTACGGAGCAAATCATAGCTATGCACTGTGACGGTTAGTTGTATGGTATTATTATTGTCTTTTAGATTCACACCAAAGCTGTTTGGTTGATAAAACGTATGTGAGCTCTCATTTTCATCCACAATTCATTCATTGTTCTCACAGACAGAGACATAGTATAATTTAGACATATATACTGACAGGCTGCTTAGTGGGAGTGAAAGACCAGTGAGACGTACACTTGCACTCATTCTTAGAGTCTTCCTTTAATATAGTGACTCGGGAGCTGGGCAGGCCATGAGAGGATGTGCAGTGAATCTCTAGTCCGCCATCTGTTCACATCATGAATACACAAGTACCCTGAAAACAGTCTGCAAGGCCCACTGTCGTGAGGGAGCAAAATTGCTCCCAAATGCTCCCGGAGATTGGCCGTTGTCAGCCAAGATTGCAAAGCATGATCCCCAGATGAGAGCTCTCCTTTTTTCTTTTATCTATCTCCTCTCCTCGTGTTTTGTCTGGCACATGGCACGTCAGCACAACATAGGGGATTTTAAAATGTGTGGAGTTAAATGTGACTAAGCACCGAAAATGCCTGCTTACACAGCTTTGTCAACATCGCTTTCACCAAAAATGAGTCTTTTGTACTCATGATTGCCGAGATCACCTGGTGGGTATTATAACTCAGTGTGGCTTATGGGTCCAAAAATGAACAAAACAACAACAAATGAACCTTAATGCATGCTTCGCGTTTTTAACGTAACACTGTAACACTGTAACACTGCAAAGATGATGCACACTTGCACATAAAACACACAATCCTGCTGTTCATAAATCTTCTGGACGGAGGGCTTTGTGGGGGTCAGGATTGTCTTATACCAGAGATCCTGAGAAAGTGCCTTATTTCAGCCCCTGATTAACCTCAGATTTCAAGCTTCATAAAACTAGTTCAGATGAAACCCATAAAGTTATCCAGTCTCGTCCTCTCTGTAACACCAGCATCTATCAGGGTTAAATATTACCATAAAATGTACAAATGGTCAGTATTCTTCATTTTACTGCTAAACAAATACTTCACATTTGAGGTCGTGCATGTTGAAAGCTGTGATGTATTACTGTGTTATGGTTACCTAGTCCACCATCAGTAATGATGAGGGAATTACAACATCAACATCAGCCCGTGATTAACATAAACAGTGAAGTCACATTCTCTCAGTAGCCGTAAGTAACCAACCTACTGGGAGCAGAGATCCATTACAGTTCATGATGTAAAATGGTGTAACAATAATATGCTCTCAGTTGCATTGTTTTGGCTTGAGACACAAAAAAGTACTTTCAAAGGACATTTGGGGTAGGCAGAAACAAACTGTCAACACAAAATTGACATATCATCACCTTCTAAGTTGCTTATTTCAGCTGTGATATTCACTCTTTTTTTGTTCTGTTTTTGGTTTCCACCAACTCCTGAGGGAGTTTAACCACTAAATGGTCCACAAGTTCACCAGGTATTTGTTAAGAATGTCGGTCTGCTGTTTGGTGCCGAGCAGGTAGTGCTTTTAGAGCTTTCTAGCTGAAAACTGCCTGCCTTGCTTTGGACAAAAATGACACAGTGAGAATGGTGAGAATGAAGTCTGACAGCTAAACAATGAGCTGAAACTTGCTGTAAAGCAGATGTGAGTGATAATTCTCTGTAGGTTCCTCACTATGAGTGTTTCACATTATTTTCATATTGTCGTTTGATAAATTGTTGTTATAAAAGTATTGATTATAGCTGCTGTCTTTGTGCCCAGAGTAAAAAATAAGTTTTGAATTCCAGTAATTTCAACTTCCCTGTGAAGTCATCCTTGAGACGTTAATATTGATCAATAACCCCAATAACCCTTTACAGAGATAGAATGGCTGTTTTGTGCTACTAAAATCTTACTTACCGCAGCTTTAAATTGGTCTCTCTCCTTTTGAACACAGTGAATTCCAGTCATGCAGACAATGAGCCATTTGCAAGGGAAATGATAGATGATGAACTCCATTAATCTGGACTTGTTTTATACATAACATCAGGCGGCTATTGCCAAAAGATTGTAGGGATTAATGGGTGCATGAAAGCTCTGCAATCAATCACTGGAGTGGTTTGTAAGAAGCTGATAAACTATAAACATGGATACTTCTGCATGTTGTCTGCAGCTCAGATTTGTGTGACCTTGAACAAATGTGTGTGTATCAGAGAGACTGAGAGAGAGAGACAGGAGGAGAGTCTGAGCGTATATGTGTGACTTGAAGTTTAATATTGCGCCCAGATCATCTCTGATTATTCCCATGTGTGATCTAGCTGGGACTTTGTTTGAATTAATGCGAGCCAGAAAGCTGAACCTCCTGAGTTGGAGTAATCAAGCAGATCTGGCTGGATAGATATGAAAAGCAGGGTGACTTTACTTCAGCAGAAAGAAGGTGGATTTAAAAGTCTGTCTACTTTTGTTCTTTATCTTTGTCTACCTCCTGTCACAAACACATAAATGTATTCCACCGCCTCATCTCTTCCACAACTGACAGGGATATTTAGCATTTTATTTGCACCTCTGTGAATATCACGCACCACGTCTAATCCTTTGTGTTCTTTGGGTCTGCGTATAATATTCTCTTTCACAGTGTCTGCTTTATACATTATGCATTGAACTCATATGTAGTGTGTTAAAATACCCAGGGTGGAGCCATTAAATCTTTTTCGACAGATAATGAAAATGGAGGATTACATCACAGCCAGGATGTCAGAAAAATGCAATATTCAAATAAAATCAAAGACATCTTTCTTTGTGTGTGTGTGTGTGTTTGTGTAGAAAAAATATATAAAAGACAAACAGAAAGGGTTTTTCATTTCTTGAATTTTGCAATCGACTATCAATATGAAAATTTCAATGACATTTAAATAATTGATATGAAAAGTAAATTCAAACACTTGAAGTAACACTCACCCAAAGCCTGGGCTTCCACGTGTAAGCACAGTTTTAATAGCAGCTGCGAGGCCAGAATCAGGGCTGTCCACACACCCATTTTGTCCTTCCAACTGGTCCCAGATCAGCAGTTTCTCTTTAGTTACTTATCAGTATGTGAGACAGTGGCAGTTTCCTGTATGTCTGCGCCTGCTTTGAGTGGTGCGTTTGAGTCCTTGCCTCCTTTTTGAATCAGTAGTGAGACAAGACTGTCATGGTAAGCCTAACAGAAGTTGCTTTTGTGTGTCTGAAATGGATGTGTGAATGTGAAGATTGCAGGAGTCTAACTGAGGGAGGAGCATCAGGCCCCGAACCTGCTTTTAAAAGCTTCCTCAGACGGCCCCATGCAGAGAAGGAGTGACCTGGGGAAACTCTTTGCATTGGCTCCTACTGGCTGCTACCAATTCCCACCGGCTCTTACACAAATGTACTGTACATGAGTAGTTTCAAATTCAGTCTCGGAACCTATGTTTGGCCACTGAAATCATGTTTCAACTCAAACTGAGCCCAGAATATTTTGAGCCTCTTGAGTTCATGCTTGGGGTGAATTTCTGTAATGTGTTTCCCACCTATAGCAATCAGATTTTGAGTATTTTTTTTCACACTCTGTCTGAAACACAGGAAGATTATTTCACTTTCCTTCCAGGGATCAGATGTGACACCTTTCTAATGTGCCCTTGCTTCCCCACCCCCCCACCCCTCCATCCCCAGGCA